AACATCCTAATTCTTTGCCCTTCCCTACTTTTTTTTATTATCTTGTCCAGTATGGGCATTTCTTAGTACAGGCTAATTTGCAGATTTTCTGTGAAGTAGAAAGTGTTGCATTTGGCCAAGAAGGAAATAAGATTTTCCACATCAGTCTACTGTTTTAGGTTCAACAGTAGACTGATGTTAATGTTGGCTTTTTTCCAGTATCTTAAAAACTATCAAGATAGTTTTCATCTTAGTAAAACAAGGTGAATTGCTGGTGGAAAATCAATATTTACCTTCACTTTTAGGTAAGATAGTAGAAATGGGTCACACTATAATGGATTGCCACTAGCAATAAGGACACGAGTCCAGCTTGGACCAATGTTATCATGCATCATGTTTCCGATAGAAAAGCCAGCCAGGTACTTTTGGTAGAGGCACAAGTAGGTCATTAAGTCAGTGGCCTTAGCTCAATATGTTTTCCCCTCTTTTTGCCTAAGCAACTAATACTGAGGCAGTATATTAGCTGAACTAAATTAAAACCCTCTGAAATTTTAGATTATTTATTAGATTATTTGCTTCCTTTAAGGAAGCAATTGGGAATGCAGTTGTCCTTATTGCTGGAGCTATTAAAAACGAAAGTAATCTTTCATTCCCCCCCAACAACTTCAGGAAACTTTCTTGAAAAGATTATAAATTCCAATAGTTAGGGAAAGCTTCCGGTATTTAGTCATAATATTTGTATAGCATATCTATTAACTGCTGCAAGAATAACTATTGCCAGGACATGGAAATCATTACAATCAACTATGGGCCAATGCTACAATGTGATTTGGCAAATGGGATTATTGAAAAAACTGAAACAAATTAAAAATTAGCAAGAGGCCAAACCTTGGAAGTTTTTAAACAGGTTATAAACGGAGGTTGGATGGCCATCTGTCATAGACGCTTTAGCTGAGATTTTTGCATTGCAGGGGGCTGGGGTTCCTTCCAACTCTGAGATTCTGTGAAATTTTATGCAGTCTGATGTGACTTCATTGATAACACACACAATATGGTAGAACAGTGCCCATAGCTTGCAGCACAGCTTGGCAGTCATGAAGTACACATTTTAATTTTTCCCTTCTCCCGCTTCCTATAATTTCTAATTGTTGTTGATACGAAATACATTCACTTATGGTCAGCAATCTAAGCAATAAACGCTACTATACATTTCATATCTGTCATAACTCTACAAATTTTGGTACAGTGGGGCCTCGCAAGACAAAAAGAATCCGTTCCACGATTCTCTTCATCTAGCGGTTTTTTCGTCTTGCGAAGCAACCCCATTAGCGGCTAAGCGGATTAGGGCTTTTAGCGGCTTAGCGGCTATTAAAGGATTAGAGGCTAAGCTGCTAAAAGGCTATTAACGGCTTAGCAGCTTGGAAAAAGGGGGGGGAGCGGGAAAAAATGGCAAGATTCGCAAGACATTTTCGTCTTGCGAAGCAAGCCCATAGGGAAATTCGTCTTGCGAAGCATTCGTCTTGCGGGGCACCACTGTATATGTATACTTAGATGAACATTTCTGAATATATTAACAAAGTTGTGTGACTGTTTTATTTTTTAATAAATTTATGTAATCGTTGCATGCCATAAGCACTAATGTAAATAATGCAACCATGTCAAACAGTTCAAATGTGAAAATGAATAAAAGTTATGTTACAAAAAAAAATAATACTGGAGCTGCTATGTTCTTGACATTTGCCTTACTTGCTAGGAAGTAAAGAACACTGTTGAGTGTTAACGGTAAATTTTTTATCTTGGCACTAGTTTGTTTATGCAACAAACATGGACTGTGATATTCTCCCAGCTGAAACAGGTTGTGGAACAGGATCTGGGCACTCCTGGCTTATTTGTTACTGGTGAAGCAGCAGCTGGGAATAGTGGTCCATAATGTAACTAATGTGAAAGGATTGTTTTTCCCCAATGGAGGAGAAAGCACAGATAGGTACCTGGAGAAGTAAAAGGCAGACTAATTAAAGTGCTAGGTTTTTTGTTTTTTTAAGCCATTAGGAAAATAGAGGATGATGGCTAGCTGATGCAAATCCTAAAATAACAGTTACATGTATATATTGACATAAACTTAACACAACATCTTTTGCTGTTTGAATCAGAATAGTAAAAATAGTGTTAATTATGAATAGCAATGTATTTGAGCCCTCAAAGTACAAAATTTCTGTAGATGGCAGGTGCGGCCAGGCGTTGGGAATTGACAATGTGGTAATGGTTTTCCTTTTTGAGTGGCTTGTGTAACTTAGGATAAGGGCAGGAGGACAGTGTGTTGCATTGAATTCTACAGCCTTGGAACCAAATTGGGGCAGACATTCAAGTTGTCTTTCAGCTAATATTAGATGGCCAGAGTTTCAGTTTGTTAGAATATCCCAACAAAAACTAAACAGCTACTTGTCTGATAAAATAGGACTCAAATTCCTGCATAGTTTAAGTGGCAATCAACAAGAGAATAATAGTTTTCTTGTTACCTTAAATGGCAACGTATACAGTTGCTTTCTTGGGTTTGTGTGTATGTATGTGTGTAAAGAAAATCTGTGAACCCTTTGCTGTACTAGCTGCTTGCTTGGCCAATCTCTAGTTACAGGTTCGCGCACATACTTGTGCCGTAGACATTGGCTGTTGCAAGAGTCGGCGAGCGGGCGTGAGACGGGCGGCGATGCGTCGAGCGGGGGCGGCTCCGCGTGTGGTGACGACGGCGGGGGCGCGTGCAAAAGGGCAGAGCGCAGACAGCGAGGGGAGAGGCATGTCGGCGCAGCACACAACAACTAGCAGAGAACTCCGGCGACGGTCTTGAACAGAAGCTTTTGCCCCGTCTCACTCGCTCTGATTTGGACTAATGCAATGTCCTTTTCTTGCTAGAACGGTATAGTTTGAGGACAGTAAACCCACAGGTACAGGAAGTAAAGCCAGAAATTTGTTGCAGGTAACCATATAGACCAGATGCTGCAGAACATCTGTGTCAAATGTTATACGCATGACCTGCCTAGAAGACCTGAGATAAAGGACATGTGTCAAGATTTGTCCAACTGCATTTTTCTTTTGTAGAATGCCTCCACAATATCTGTAACAGATGGTGAAAGTTGACAGTAACTATTAGGTTCACAGCAGTACTGTCTCAAACATCTTCCTTTTTTAAGGGATGAGGAAGACTGGCTTGATGTTTACTTTGCTACTAAGAGGAGCTGTGAGCCTTTGATGAATGATGTCAGGGCTGGGAAAGTTTAAAGCTTTGTGGCTGAGAAAACTCCTGGGCCAATGCAAACTGTTGCCAAGAAAGAACAGTCTGGAAGCTTTGCAGAATGGTTGGTAGTCTACAACAGAGGTTGCCACCGTTTTTGGACCCATGGACATATTTGGAATTGTGAGAAAGCGCCTTGGATGCCATCATAAAATGACTGCCATGGTAGACATGGCCATTACCAAACATTGTTGTTTAATATAAGGCAGAGTCTCTCTCTCTCTCTGGCAAGATACAAAGCCAGAGGAGGGGGGGGGCAGCCATAGAGAGCAGAAAATCAGCTGAAGAGGGGCTCACAATCTGAGAAAATGCAGATACGATCCATCCTTTCATTTTTCTCTCTTGGGTTGCTTCACTCTCCTCCCCACCTCCTCCTTGCATTGGGTCTAGCTGCTACTCCCACTTACCTTTTTCTGTTGTCTTCAGTGTTTTTACAAAGTGCTTTTCCTTCTTCCTGCTTGAAGTGAACTGAAGCAAGCACCTGAGTAGCCAATGCTCAGAGAACTGAGAAAGAAAGTGGGGAGGAGCAGCACACTGTGCACTTTCACTCCTCTCTCTATACTTTTCAAGGCTGAGATGGGCAGGTGTGGTCCTGCTATCAGCCTGGAAAAGTTCATAGTTCAACAAGCAAAGAGCGTGACACCCTTCTCACTTCCTCATCTCCAAGTATTTCTCAAGGTTGTGATTAATGCCTTCCTACTTCGGAAGAGAGAAAAAGGTGTGAGGGGATGTGGAGGCCTTGTGTGTGCTGGAAGGTTATTGCACATGGTCACCACATTAATGCATTGTCCAAAAGAACCCCCACATGGCTGCTATAGGAATTGATTGCAGCATCTGAGCAAAATTGCTACTTGGATATTTTTGGAGAAAGTAAGCAAGGGTGGGGAGAAGTAATAGCAACTTTATCTCTAAAAGATGTATAGAATGAAGACTACTGTCTTGTTTCTGTATGGTGAACTGCATCTGCCAATATTGCCCTATATGGAGATATTAGGTGTAGGAACCCTATTTTCTGGCATCTGGCCACCCTCGTGGGTAAAAGGTTTAGTGGCGTTAAAGGCGGGTCCCAAATGTGAAGGAAGTTGAAGACTCTGCTTTGCCATTCAGCTAACGGTAGATTAGCTGTAGATATGCTTGTGGGCCTCCAGATGTTATAGGACTACAACTCCCAGTGGTCAATGGTCAGGGATGATTGAAATCAATTAATATCTGGAGGGCTACAGGTAAATAAGAATGGGAAGGTAGTGGAAAATGGCTATATGTAGAACAAGCTTGCTTTAAAGGCTCCAGGTGTTAATGCAGGCATCCCCAAACTCGGCCCTCCAGATGTTTGGCGACTACAACTCCCATCATCCCTAGCTAACAGGACCAGTGGTCAGGGACTATGGGAATTGTAGTCCCCAAACATCTGGAGGGCCAAGTTTGAGGATGCCTGTCTTAATGGGCTTTAGCATCCTTCCTTCTATTTGTGCAGTGTAGGTAACTAGCCATGTAATACAGAGCGTACTTAAAATATTGAAAGTGGATTTAATGAACACTAGGAGCTCTGTAATTTAGACCAATAATACTCAACAGCAGACGTTGATTTAAATATTTCGCATCTGTAATTCAAGTACTCTTTCCTGCAGTGAAGTTACATGTGACAACTTCATTTGTAATTTGTTAGAGAACCTTTGCATTAAAGAACCTGAGTAGTTCACTACACTATGCTAAGAAGCATGTTGATTTCCATCAGGTGAACTGCTGCTTTGCGAGGCAAATATGGTTTTGAAGTACACACAAGATGATGGATCAAACCGTGGCACCTATGGGAAACTTATATGCACAAATTTCAAGATTTCATTCCTTGGTGAAGAACCTGCTTTGGAGGATGATGTAAGGAATCTAAGTTAACCTTAAGCTATCTTGTGAGTGTATCCTCTTCATTATATGGTGGCAGGCTGCCATAGAGGGCATTTAGAGTCCAGTCTAGAAACTGTTGAAGCAAGAATGATAGTAGCCAGATCTCTAGTTTCCAGTAGTTGATGTACTAGTTGAACTGATAAGGACACTCTGGGCTACAGCTGCAACCTGAGAATCCAGGAATAAAATTGATTTTAGCAATGCCCCAAGACAAATCTGACCTAATAAGGAAGGGTGATCAGATCCAGAATGAGTTGTATCCATAGTCTGTTGAGCTGCTTCCTCACCTAAAATAAATAAATAAATAAATTCATAATCCATATAAAACAGTTTAAGCATTCTCACTCTGTCAGTCACTGATTGCAGGCACAGGTTCATGGACTTTAGCTTGGTTTACTGAAAACGAGAAATGGAGCATGCTTTAATTGGAATATGTTGACTTACTCTGATATCACTTGACAACCTCTCCCAGCAGTTTAATGTAAATGCCAAATACCGGGGGGGGGGGGGGAGAATATTGAATCCCAAGTAATCCTACAGAATAACTTGCTTGAGAAGGAACAGTCTCCCAGTACCACCTTCTCAAGCCTACCTTCCAGTAAGCAGAACCATTACAAATGGTGCCCTGAATCTTGCAAGGAAGTCCAGGAGGATACTGTAGTGGCTGATACTGAAAGCCACTGAGCTGTCCGAGAGGATCAAGAGTAATACTCCCTGTCTTTCTCCTAGCAAAGGTTGTTCTCCAGAGAGGCCCAAAGCAATACCTCAGAATTAGAGAGACCTGAAATGAGGCGGGGGTTAGATATTTTGCTTCATCCAACAGTGGCCAGGGATGGCTCCCTGCCTTGCTCTGCATGCTATATTTAAATATTTTGCAAAACACCACTCTGGCCCATTTAGGTTGGAGTCTTAAGGTAGAGGTTTCCTTTAAACATGTAGCTTTTAGAATACTGGAGGTAAAAATGAGTCTTAACAATTGTCTTCAAATATTAAATGTGTATATAGTTCTTTTAGGGTGGACAAGTTGCTGGTGAACAATTAAATTATCCCCAGCTTCAAATCTGTAGTGATGTCAAAGTAGTCTCTGTAGTAAAGTGATTTGTTTTTAGGTAAGATTAGATTGCACATCGACAGGGATGTGACATTAAAATTGGGCATTTTTAGGCATCAGTGGAGAGTAATAGAGGTTTGTTGGCGCTCTCGGAAGACTGAGGCTTTGGAAATAGGAAAAAGAAACTTCAAAACTCGTAGCCACAAGTGAGTTGATTAGAATGAGTGATAGTGACTGCCTCAAGGTCACACAGAGCTTCATGGTTGAGAGTGTACCCTAGTCTTCCAGTCCTGTTATTATGAACGTACCTTATACTTGCAATACAGAGTAAATTAAAAACTAGTGTCTGTTAAGGAACACACAAAACATTTTTCTTTTTTCAGGAACTAGAATTTTATAATAAAATCATTGGGGAAAATGACATCACTCTTCAGTGTGTGGACCAGCTTTATGGAGGTAGGCTGACAACTTCCTGTGACTATTTGGTGTGAACTAAACAACTTATTTCACTTGGTGATCCTAATCTAAAGTTCAGTTTTGGTGCCACTTGTTTGAGTTTTAATTTGTAAATCTTATATAATGTGTCAAGATCACTTGCTATGAAGCGTGTATTCCAACATATTCAACTCTCAAATAGCCTTGCTGGCCAAATAGTTTTCCATTCCTTAAATCAGGATGAATGTGTGTTTCTTTTCAGCTCCCGTTATGGTCACTAATCTAAAATTATTGATAGAATTGTTCATGATAGAGAAGGGGTAGATTTCCTTGTTCCCTGTTCTAACTCACTGCATGGAGAAATGTTAAAACTATTTTCCCCCCTTAAAGTTTATGATGAGAGAAAGAAACCCCTGAATGGTCAACTGAGAAAATACCCAGAGACGATGATAATCTACTGCAAAGATCTCAGAGTGTTTCACTTCTGCTTGCGATACACCAAGGAGGAAGAAGTAAAACGGGTAACTGTAGCCTCAATTCCCTTTCTTTAGAACAAAAGCATTTGGGAGTAGCTATGAAAAAACTTTCATGAATAAAGTGACTAAGCTTTTTCCGTCAGGCATTTACAAAGTTTTAATGTGGATGTGCAGCATCTTGGTACACCCTTCTGAAAATTTCTCTCCTGTTGCTTTTATGAAACCTGGAAGCAAGTCAGAGTTGTGATGACATTTGAAACCTGAGTTTGTGGTTTCAAACAATGAGCAGTACCCAAGGTTTGTTCTTTGTTTGCTGCTTGTAGATGGTTTGTAATAAAGAAAAGCATGAATCTGGGTTCAGATGTTGGAACAAGCCAGATTCTGGCTTGTTTTCCAGTGGGCACAGGAGAATTGGGAAAAGGAGCACAGAGAGAACTTTTCATGTTCAACTATTATGAATAGAAATACAGTATTAAAATACTACTATTAAAAGAAATATGTAAATATAAAGAAAAACAGTAAAAGGAATATTCATCTAGTGCTTTTATACCAATCCAGCATTGATACATTTATCACACACACTAACAGATACTGTGTGAACATATGGGAAGTCTTGTTTCTAACGGCAGCAGTAAGCTTTTTTCATGTATTTGAATGAAAAATTGACACATTTAGAGAAAGCGGGAGCACCCCAAATTAGTCACTCTTTAAAATTTAAAAACTTATTACTTCAGAATTGCCACTGAGGATTTGGAAATCACAGGAAAATGGCATGCGGTGTATGCATGTTCTGTATTCGCACAAAAGCTGTATTCTGTATTCACACAAAAGCCCTCAGGGGTTTCTTTTTATCTATTATATTATATCTATTATAATATGTACAGTTCCCAGTAGCATTAAAAGTGCAGTCTACATAATAGTGAAGATTCTTTCCTTCGGTTTGTCTGAACTGCTTTGACATCACACCCTAGCCATTGTTCAGGTGTCAGGATAAAGAGCCTCAGGCTTGCTCCAGTTCCTTCCCCCAGCTCCTGGTTCCTGGTGAACATAGCTTGCTTGATTTGGATGGCCTTCCGGCAAACCAGGAAATAGAATGGAGAGGAGTTCGTGTTCATGCATGCAGCACCTCCTCAATGGCGAGGCCATAGTTTGGCTGTGGTTCCGTTTATACATTGAGTGCAGAAGCTAGAATTACTTAAGTCCTTTTTTACGTCTAGTGCTGAAAATTGCAGAAGTGTATACACTTAGTAATGACACACAAATTGATAATGGCTTCATCTGTCCACCCATCCAAGATAATATAGTTTTGGCCTATGTCGCATCATATAGTTCTACATTTGGTACATTGTTTATGGAGTTGGTCCCCTACAGGGAGTTGTCCATACTCATGGGTGTATGGAGAGCATTGCAATAGTATAAGGGTTTAGACTGCACTGCCTTAAAAAGTGACCTTAATATAGCTTGAAAATGTGTGGGAGTCTTGAACATTTAACTTCTCACAACTTTTCTGTTTGGAACAAAGGATACATCTAGAAAAGAATGGGTTCAGACCTCTTGTTACCCAGGAATGTGAAGAACATGTGACTTGCCCTTTTTTAAATCTCTCACGCCCTCCTGTCAGTCATTGTCATAATGACATAGGGCGATTGACAAGTGGGTGGTTCTACTCAACTGTCAACATTGGCCCATGGAGGTAGGGGGAGGTAGTAACTAAGCAGGATTAACCACCCTGAGTTCTATCCTGCTTTCTGCAGGGATTAGCTGTGCAAGCAATTTGGCCATGGGGAGTTTGCATGCATAGTCAAGCCAAGGAGGATTGAAGTTCCCTGCCACCAGCTGATGAGTGGGGTTGTTAATGTTTTGCTTTCATGCCATTGTACTGGACACATCTCTACCTGCACCATACCTAATGTTTCATATGATGTCAGGTGTAGGGCAGATCACTGTGGTTTGGGGGAGATGGTCTGGTGGGCGAAATGGGGAGTCTTGGTCAAATCTGGCTTGGAGGTTGGAGGGTCCCTAGCCCTTTGTGCTATATCCTGTTCTTTAAGCTTATTCCCAGTTTGTTTTTTTGCCTTCACCCAACGTTTCTTTTCAACCACTTAGAGCTCAGCATTTTAACCTTAAGTATTAATTTCAAGTCTAAAAATCTAGTTGTGATATATACAGTCTGCAGGTTCTCCAAACTGGGAGCCTTGTCAGTAAAAAGCTATCTAAACATTTTCCATAAGAATAGGGTCACCCTGGGCACAGACCAACTTTAATCTTGAAGATTAATTTGTGCTTTCATCAGCTCAGGACTAGGCATAAGCTAGACCCTAAGAAAATACATAAAACATATGCAGTCACTCTCATACTCGGCTTCCCTCTTGGTATCCTTCACTCCCATTTCTTCACCATTTCTTCGCCTTCCAAAGCGGTATCCTTTGTCAGATGGTTCCTTCAGCATGTTCTGCCCTCGCCTTGATCTGACAAACCAGCCAGTCTGTTCTCCCTTCTTAGGATCAGGGTACCTTAAACACACTCCATTCCTTTCTGGATGCTTCCTTTGCTTCAAACGCAGAAAGGTGAGAGCTAGTAGCATGTTCCTTGCCTTCCTGAGTAGTAGCAGGGTTTAACTCATTCTTTTCTGCATGCCTCATTTGCCCCAAACAAGGATGGAGCTTCTTGGTAAGTGACTAGACTTCCTTTCTGGCTAATCCTTGTTCTGGTTTATAAATGTGTTGATTTGTTGATCCTTTCTTAGATCGTCAGTGGCATAGTTCATCAAACACAGACTCCTAAGCTATTTAAACGCTTGTTTCTGTTCTCTTATGCAACAGCTGTACCAAGTAAAGCAGGTAAGCATATATCTACTTGGTTTGGTTCTCAGTATAATTGGGGATTATCTGCTGAAGCCAGTTTGTTCTTCAGGTGGTATAACTACTCATGCAGAAGTGGAATTTATGATACTGGCAAATGTCAAATTATTTTCCTTACTAAATTTGCTTAGGTGTTTGGTTTCATTTCCCATTCATTTCAATGGCAGTAGCATGGTCATCTAAGTAGTAAGCTATTTTACTATGAATCATGAGATGTGATAAAATGCCCATCTGTATAGAATCAAAGAGAGGAACTTCAGTGGATGTCTGTATAAATCTCTTCAACACTTTGTGCTGAATTCTCTCTCTTGCTGAAAAAAAGGATTTGCTAGGAAGGCTGCATGTCTGAATTTTTGTCCAAGTATTTTGAACTTATGAGAAGGAAATCAACAGGCTTCATTTCTGTATGCTTGGATTCCTTATCTGGTAAATAAAACTAAAACTAAAAGCAGCTGTGTTTAGCCTGAGAATAACTAGGAAAAACTTTTCTGCTACTTCTAGCTGCTGAAATGATATAAATGTAGTGTGTGTGTCTGTTTTAATCAAGAGGTAGAAGCTGTGTCACTTCACTGTATTGAGGTGAGACTAACCAGGGGATAAAGATAAATGGCAACAAAGATCTTCAATTTCATATCCAAACACCTTTAGGTAAAATCCAGGAAGGTACTAGGGCATCCATACAGTACTCTGTACCAGCGCACAGTAAGCACTCCCTAAGTTGTATGTAGCTGCAACGCAAGTGAAAACTATTCCAAAACATTATTTTGCCTATGTGATAACTTGGCACTATGTTAAGTCTTTGCCCACAGTTATTTTCCAAGACTGAAGTATGAATATCTTGGAATTGAAAACATACCCCATACCTACCTTAATTTACCTTTAAAACATTCTGTATTTCTTAAGCTGTAACTCTGGTGCCAGTTTTCTTCCTAGCCAGAGTGGATTCCATGATATTGTCACAAAGTTGAAGCAGAAAGGGCAGTGCTTCCCACCCTTGCTCTGAATACGTGAATATCTTGGCCTGTTTTTCAAACCACTCCCAAAATGACAAAACAAAGTTATTTATGGTGGTGTGCAGCTTCCTGTTAAATGCTTCCCCTTCCCCATTTTGGCTAAGCCCTAGAAATATTTTAATCCAGTGGGCTCCTTGGTATATACTTCCTGTCTGTAGAAACATTGTGAATGAGAAGAAGGAAGGAGAATTTTTTTTTAATTGGTTGGTATTCTAAGGGCAGCTTCTCCCTTTTCATAGAAATATTTCCTGCATGATTTGAGTGTCCCTATGATTGGTCTTCATTAACATTACTAGTGTCCCACCGTGGAAAGGCAAAGCACCTCCCTCATTGGTGTGTTTATGGCAAAATAAACACCTTGCAATTCATGAATGATACTATATATACTCTTTCCAACATTGGAATTGTTTGGGTGTAGGAAAAAGGTTGGATGTGAAACAATGAGATAGTTATGCAGTCACTTCCCAGACTGCTGGTATACTAGTGTCTGACATCCGATAGCCATGTGTTTGCATATAATTCTTATGGCTAGACTGACTTACTATAATGCAATTTTTAAATGTGTGCTTGATTATTCATTTCAGGTTTCTTCATATTGATCCATTCTTGTTTTATGTTGACATGCAATTCGTTCATATGTAGCTAATCTGTCCATATTATCAATCCATGTGCTCAATGGAATCTTTTTGCGGCTCTTCCAATTCATCTAAACAAGTTTTTTTGCTTCTAATATAGCACAGTACATCCAATTTTTTTGATCCCTTGAAATCTCACACATTTCCGGAATATAATTTATTAAATTCAATTTCCCTAAATAACAATTTCTTTTTATTACTCTTGCTATAAATATCCTCACCTCACACCAATATGATCGTATCATTGGGCAGTTAATCCACATATGTACTAAGTTCACATTTTTACTCCCACATCTCCAGCAGTTGTCTGCACTTGTTATTTTCTTCTGGTATAGTTTTGCTGGAGTCCATTGGACTTCGAATATTATTTTCTGTTGAATAAGTCTTAGTCTTAGATCCATAGTGGCCATTTCTGTTTTTTATACTTGACTCCCATATTTCATTTGTTATCTGTACCCCTAACTCTTCACTCCATTTTTGTTCACTCCATGGTTTTTGTTGTATGTATCTTTTGTGGTCGATGTTTATATCGAAAAAATGATTAATATTTTTTTTTAAGTGTGCTTGATTATTTCTCATAACTGGCATTGATGTACTTACAGCTGCACTTAGAATTGTTTGACGCTGTATTTTGTACTTCCACTGCTCTTTATGGAAATTCATCAAAAGTTTATAACCACCTAATTAGATTTATGTGGAAAATCTGTATTGTGGATGTATTGGTATGAACTGAGACTACTGCTTTAAATAGCATATTCTGTATGTGCTTAAAATCCTTCATTTTTAAACTTGCATTCCTAAAAATGTTAGGTTATGAGGGAGTACTGATACTTGTACAGTCCATGTTGCAAATGGACACATTTGCACCTGAATTTTTGGCAGTTTCCATTTTAGGATGCCTCTTTTGTGGCACTCCAAGCTATTCTTGAAGCTGACCTGAGTTCAAAATGCAGTTTGAAGATATTGAAAGCAGTTCAAAGAGGGAAAAGTGTTGAGCATGTAGAAACAGCAATTTCACTTTAAAATGCCAAGTTTGTGTGAAAGTTTCTCGCTTTGGCTTATGGGTGTAGTCTCTAGGTCAAATCAATAGTTTTGTGTAAATATGTTGAAATGCTAATTTCTACATTTAAATCACAAAACTAAATTCAGCCAGTCCTGTAGCTAAACTTTCTAGTTTCTTGCTAAAAACACCAAAATGTATGTTCTTTTGTTAGATTGGTTAGAACTAACAAATTATATTTTGACAGAAAAAAAGAATCAGACAGTGATGTTTGATTCTATTAATGACTGGCGTCAGGAACTGGAACGAACCAAAGGAAACCTGAAATTCAAAGCAGTGAGTTCCAATGAAAACTACAATGTTTCTAAAAAGTAAGTATAGCTCGCATACTATTGCTATTGAACAAATTAACAAATGTAAACTGATTTATTTTATATCTGTTCTCTAAAGCTCTGAACAGATTAATTTGAATAGCAATCTTTGGGGATTTATTCTCTTAAGGTGTTTGCAGTTGTTAACAATGATTAGGTTATTCAAACAGAGGTTCCCATAAACAAAGCATTTCCTTTTTTATGGTAATTTTTATTAGTTTTCGATTACAATCTAATAATAGCCTCATTATAACAATACCAATTTATAATAAAATTATTAATACCAGTAGTTCAAATACTGAATTATATAATTTAGATAAGGTGGCTCTCCACGTGCCAGAATTGACAGCTTGATTATTTGCTTTATTTCTGCATTCCAAAATTTTAATTTCTATTACATTCTTGTCGTAATAATCTTTATACAACAATTGTAATACTAATAATTTCTACTTGTGTTGACTAATTAAATGATTTATAAAACTACAAGCGAGGAACTCAAACTATATCCTTGTTCTTCCTGTGTGTGGCAATTATTCTGTCTGTGGTGTTTCTTCCTGTCCTTGTAAGATGTTATGTCTTTCTTTCCCCCGGTTGTTGCTGTTAACCATCATGCCTTGCACGAATAGTTAGCAATGTAGTTAGGCAGTCCTAGAAGCAAAACAGGTTCCTAGGTAGGAGCTTGAAAGCTAGAACCTGCAAGATAGCTTTTTTTTTAATGCTACTTATTCTATACACAGGGCTAGCAAAACAAACACAGCTAAGTGCCCCTCAAATGTGTGGATTAGCTAATACGTGGTACTTCTGGTTGCGAACGGGATCCGTTCCGGAGGCCCATTAGCAACATGAATAGAAGCAACCCGCAGCAGCCGTGTCTGCGTACACGCGGGTTGCGATTTGTTCTTCTGCGCATGCACATGACATAATTTTAACCGCGTCTGCGCATGCACAGACATAATTTTAACGCGTCTGCGCATGCGCAACTGGTGAATGCTTCCCTCTATGAGGGAGCCTTCCCAGACCCGCTGAAAGAGGCGGTCATTAAACCGCTTCTTAAAAAAACATCTTTAGACCCAGCCAATTTGGCCAACTATCGCCCAGTCTCAAATTTACCATTCTTGGGCAAGGTGATTGAGCGGGTGGTTGCCAGACAACTCCAAGCACGCCTGGAGGATGCGGACCATTTGGATCCCTTCCAATCGGGATTCAGGCCTCACCATGGGACTGAAACTGCCTTGGTCGCGCTGGTTGATGATCTCCGGCGGGCTAGGGACAAAGGTGAGAGCTGTTTCCTAGTTCTGCTGGATCTCTCAGCGGCCTTTGACACCATCGACCATAACATCCTTCTGGACCGTCTAGAGGGGCTGGGAGCTGGGGGCACTGTTATACGGTGGTTCCGCTCCTTTCTCCTGGGCCGTGTCCAGAAAGTGGTGGTGGGGGATGAGTGTTCAGACCCCTGGGCCCTCACTTGTGGGGTGCCTCAGGGTTCCGTCCTCTCCCCCATGCTTTTTAATATCTATATGAAGCCGCTGGGAGAGATCATCAGGGGGTTTGGGCTGGGTGTTCATCAGTATGCAGATGACACCCAGCTCTACCTCTCCTTTAAATCAGAACCAGTGAAGGCGGTGAAGGTCCTGTGTGAGTGCCTGGAGGCTGTTGGAGGATGGATGGCGGCTAACAGATTGAGGCTGAATCCTGACAAGACAGAAGTGCTGTTTTTGGGGGACAGGGGGCGGGCGGGTGTGGGGGATTCCCTGGTCCTGAATGGGGTAACTGTGCCCCTGAAGGACCAGGTGCGCAGCCTGGGAGTCATTTTGGACTCACAGCTGTCCATGGAGGCACAGGTTAATTCTGTGTCCAGGGCAGCTGTCTACCAGCTCCACCTGGTACGCAGGCTAAGACCCTACCTGCCCGCAGACTGTCTTGCCAGAGTGGTGCATGCTCTAGTTATCTCCCGCTTGGACTACTGCAACGCGCTCTACGTGGGGCTACCTTTGAAGGTGACCCGGAAACTGCAATTAATCCAGAATGCGGCCGCTAGACTGGTGACTGGGAGTGGCCGCCGGGACCACATAACACCAGTTCTGAGAGATCTGCATTGGCTCCCAGTACGTTTCCGAGCACAATTCAAAGTGTTGGTGCTGACCTTTAAAGCCCTAAACGGCCTCGGTCCAGTATATCTGAAGGAGCGTCTCCACCCCCATCGTTCAGCCCGGACACTGAGATCCAGCGCCGAGGGCCTTCTGGCGGTTCCCTCATTGCGAGAAGTAAGGTTACAGGGAACCAGGCAGAGGGCCTTCTCGGTAGTGGCTCCTGCCCTGTGGAACGCCCTCCCAGCAGATGTCAAAGCAATAAACAACTATTTTACTTTTAAAAGTCATCTGAAGGCAGCCCTCTTTAGGGAAGTTTTTAATGTTTGATGCTGTACTGTTTTTAATATTCAGTTGGAAGCCGCCCAGAGTGGCTGGGGAAACCCAGCCAGATGGGCGGGGTATAAATAATAAATTATTATTATTATTATTATTATTATGCGCAAGCTGCGAAACCCGGAAGTAACCCTTTCTGGTACTTCTGGGTTGCTGCGGGACACAACCTGAAAAAACGTATCATGAAGCAAATGTAACATGAGGTATGACTGTAGTGTTTGTAGGAAGTGTTTGGACTGAGGGACATTTTGGACAAGGTAAAGGTAAAGGTACCCCTGCCCGTACGGGCCAGTCTTGACAGACTCTAGGGTTGTGCACCCATCTCATTTAAGAGGCCGGGGGCCAGCGCTGTCCGGAGACACTTCCGGGTCATGTGGCCAGCGTGACAAGCTGCATCTGGTGAGCCAGCGCAGCACACGGAAACACGGTTTACCTTCCCGCCAGTAAGCGGTCCCTATTTATCTACTTGCACCCGGGGGTGCTTTCGAACTGCTAGGTTGGCAGGCGCTGGGACCGAGCAATGGGAGTGCACCCCGCTGCGGGGATTCGAACCGCCGACCTTTCGATTGGCAAGTCCTAGGCACTGAGGCTTTTACCCACAGCGCCACCCGCGTCCCTTTTGGACAAGCTAGACCTGCACAAATTGGCTGATAATCCACTTGAGTCAGAATGGAACCAGACTGGTTGGTACCTAAAATAAAAAAAGGTGGCAGAAAAGCTTGTAAACTGATTCATGAGGGACAGCCAAAAGGAGTTGAGGAGCGTCGGGTTCAACCTAAATCTAGGGGATGAGAACATTGGTCCAATAGGGGGAGGGGTTGCAGTAGGCACTGGAGGTGCAGAGGTGATAGCAATTTATATAAACCAAAGTTCCATAAGTAAGTGCAGATGACATTTGGGGAGAGAAAGTGTATAAATGTTTATATTCTAATGCTAGAAACCTAGGAAGCAAGCTGGAGCATGTTGTTTTAAAGGATGACATACATACAGGGAGTGTATCCCCTGGAGGAATGGGGAGAGCCATTAGATAGTTTGTCTCTGGATACAAACTCTATAGTGGGGTATGCAACATGGTGCCCTCCAAATATTGTTTGCCTCTGGTTCCTATTTTGAGAACTTTTAAAAAACTGTACAGTTCCTGTAGTGTTCCACATCGTAAGTGCAAATTGCTGTTGACTTTTAATTAATGTTTTCAGGTTGCCAGCATACTTCGTTGTTCCCATGTCTGTCCCTGAAGAGGACCTTTCGGAATATGAAGGAAGAGGAATTCCAGTGAGTATATTCGTAGTCAAGAATTTATGGAAGACATGTATGGGAATGAAGTGAACTTTACACAGGGTGTGTTTAGGACTTGTTGTGGCACAGCTGAAGAATCTGAGTAATATATCAAATGAGTGCAGTTTAAGAACAGAAGCTGAGTAAGAAAGGAGACAGTTTTGTACTCCTGAACATTCGGTCATGTAATTTTGTGTGATGTTAATTTCTATCTATTCAAATAAGGATAAATGTTGGCACCACAGAATTCAGAATGAAATTTCTATACATTCTGTGAATGAAGTTGGAGAATCTTCCATGGTTTGGAAAACTGGAAGTGGAGCCTTGGGCTTTGGCACTCCCACTTGAGTGATGTAAAAAAAGTGGCTTCCCTCAAACCAGACTGAGACTGATTCAACCTATGTCTTGTACAAACACGAAAATGAGTAGGCAGAAAGCATGTGAGCTAGAGGTTATCATATGATCATCTAACCTAACTCATGATGTTTAAAAATGATTGCAGTTTATTACTGGCAGTCCTTAAGAAAACTAAATGTAACGCAGAAATGCTGTAGTGATCTAATATTCACTCGTAACATGCTGTTGTATGATGCAGTTACTTTATAACAAAATGAATGCCCTTTGGGTAATATTTACTGATGAGAATAAACGTGTGTTGCAGATTTGGTGTTGGTCTTGCCACAATGGTGCTGCTCTCCTCAAGATGTCTACTCTGCCCAAAGCACAAGATGACAACGCTCTGCAAACACAGAAAATCTTCTTAGAGGAGTCAGTAGTAGCTTCTTTCATTTTTAAGTGTCTGTGAGGATCTTCTCATCAGGCTTTATTTCACTTCTACTTTATATGCATGTTACAAACATTTGCCTATGACTATGTTCATTGTGCTATTACCACAAGGGTGATGTGAATTGCAGGTTTTTTCTCCTAATGTTGACTGACGTATGCAATGCAAGTGATTGTTTGGCATAGATGGCTGTTAATGTTGTTTATACATTCTTTGATGCATCCTGGACAGACAAAAAACCAATTGCTAACCCAAAGCACAAACAGCAGGGTGCATCTAACTGCCAGTAGCTATAGGGCTTGTCTATAGGAGCAGGTCTAAATAAACAAACAAAGCCTATGTATCACTTTGTCTTCACCATTGGTTCTGTAAGCATCCCTGGAACTTTGGAAGAGGAAGATTATAAACATGTAAAACACCACTGCCATTATGAAAATTAGAGGTACAGTTTTAACAATATAACTGGGCGATACAGCAAAGGCTCCAAGAGCTCAAGTAAATCTAGCATTGTTCCTCCTATCTAGAACTGAAATAGGTAACTTAGGGTCCTGCAGGTGCTGTTGGAGTACAACTACCCATCAGCCCCAGCCAGCACAGCATGGAAGTTGTAGCACAATATCTTACTGGTGGCCACAGGTTCTTTACCAATAAAGAAGACCGTGTTGTTTTTTACCAAAGTAATTGCATAAAAACTTGTGTTCTTGCTGACTGTTTTTGCCACTCATGCTATAGCTGATCTTATACTCTGAACCCTAGAAAACTGACATTTATATTGACATGTAAGAAACTGGATTGTAAACTTCCTTGCTTTTTAATTTTAAAATAGTCACTATTAAGCCATTTAAATAATAAGTTTTAATGTGTTTTTCAGTATGTATAAGACACTTGATAACCCTCCTTATGAAGCCATGAAAGTTGATGTCCTGTCAAGTAGTCTTCCGTCTCTGCAAGAGATCCAAATTGCATACACAAGATTTAAACAGCTGTTTCTGATAGGTAAGTGGAAACTATATTGAGGGCACTATAGAAGAACATCCTATCTAGACTCGCTAAAGAAAAAAAATACGCTTTTTCTCCAGTAACCACCCCACTGGCTGAAGTCTCCATTTGAAATTTGTAACTAAACTTCTTTGTTGCTTTTCTGATACATGAAGAAAGTGCTGAGAGGAGTTAGCTGTTTGCAAATGTGTGAACTCATGTAGTATGTCTAAAGCCAAAGTTCAACAGTTCTACAGCACTAAAAGCCATAGCAAAATAGCACTTTACAAAAGAGAGCCACGTCTAACTTCACTACCCCTAGACCAGAGGTCTGCAACCCACGGCTCCGGAGCCGCATGTGGCTCTTTTACATCTTTGCCGCGGCTCCGGGGCGGATACTAGCGAGGGGAGGAGGCGCATTGTGCGCCCCGACACTCCTCACTGTGGCGGGCGCTGTACTGGCTGTGACGTCGCATGGGGGCGGTGCGTGCGTTAGTCACGCACCGTCCCGACGTCACCTTCCCGCCCGCTGTCAGATCGCGGCTCCGGAGATATATTTGTTTTAAATGTCGCAATGGTTTTGTGGCTCCCAGTTGTTGTTTTTTCTTCGGAAACGGGTCCAAGTGGCTCTTTTTGTCTTAAAGGTTGCAGACCCTTGCCCTAGACCTATCTTCTGCTTCTGATACTACTGACCACCATATGTTTTTTCATTGTGTTTTCCTTGTTCAATCCTATCCCTTTGAGTTCAAGGAGTTTCTGTGATAATTTCCCACTTGCTGTCAGTGTCGGACATTTGGTTCCAGTGCTCTACCACTTACTCATTTGATCTGCTCTATCATACTGATGACTTACTGCTCTGCTTCATGTTTTTTTCCAGCAGGTGCAAACGTAACAGTCAATACAGATCTCAAATATCATTGTGCTTTTTGAAATCTTCTATTGATGTCAAGTACTTGAGTTGCCACCAGAAATAGCTAAAAACAATTTCTCTTCTTTTTACAGATAACAGTACAGACTTCTGGGATACTGATGTGAAATGGTTTTCATTATTGGAGAGTACAAATTGGCTAGAAATTGTAAGGTTGGTGAAACCCTGCTTCAACTGTAGTGCATCTTAGAAAGTTAATGTCGTAATAAGCTAGCAATGCCAAACTTAATCTGAATTAGCTCCAAGATGTAATCACCTGTATAAGATCAAACAATAACACAATGGCTTTATGGACTTCATATCATAATTAAGGCCTTCCATTTAAGTTACTGTGACAATTTTGTTCCATTCATGTAGCAGATGCTGAGTCTGACAGTTAATTTTTCCTCCTCCGTTCCATCTACAGCAGCATTAAGGGTCAGAGTTGGTTCCCTTTCATATTAGAACACATAATTTTAGTTCTCAAGGATGAGTCTTCAGGCACATAACAAACACATTTCCATATTACAGGAAAGAAAGCATAAAAACCTTGTGAAATACTAGCACTACAACTCTAAAATATTGATTATTGATGCAGAGCTGAGAAACTCTAAATCATTATCACCTGAATCAGCAAGGCTAGAATTGGGCAGCAACGTGATGTGAGCTTCCCAAAGGAAAGAGTGAGGGGTGCTCAAAGGAAGGATTTATACCCAATGATTCCTTTGAAGGAGACAGGTTAGAATTTTTTTCCTCTGTTATCAAAGAAAAACAAGACTACATTCCACAAAATAGCCAACTTAATGAAAAGGTTTGATAACTCATGTGCACCAAATGCACTGCATCTTCTTAAATAATGTTAGTAATATGTTTACTATTAGCAAACAAAATATTGTTTGCTAATAGTAGATGTTACTAATAAATATTTATTAGTAACATCTAATAAAACTACAATATAAAGAATTGTTATTTTTGGAAAGCATATCTGGATAGAATTTACACAAAACCTAAATAATACAGGAGTGTTTGGCTAAAATAACTGTTAAAAATAGCATTTGTTATGAACACAGCTTGTTTCACTAAGCTATAAAGGAGGATTAAGTCAGGCCAATTCAACAGGGGACATGAGGTTATTGGTTTAGTGTAGGAAATAAGGAATACTGATATACCAGTCTGGTATGTAAGTCTGTGGCCCATTTTAGGATGTTAGAAAAATAGAAAAATGCCCTTTATTCCTCTTTTTTAAAACGTTAAATTCTGTTCCATTGTTGTGAGAGAAATCAACTATAGGGCCTGTTTATTGTGTCTGGAATCAGCCAAAATGGGTACAGAAGTGGGAGATGTTTGTCAGTTGTGCTAAAGCATTGTATTCATGTTCTAGGAGATGCCTGAGAAAAGCAGTAGAGATTATTGATTTGCTAGAAGCAGAGAATACAAATGTTCTCCTTATAGGTAAGTTGTGTACATCCTTCTTTCCAGTGTGCCTTCCACATAGCTGCTGTGCTTCTAAGTAGCTTAATTGTAGAGTAGTTCTCAAATATCTGTGAAGAAAGGAGTTGAATTTCATGAACTGCATTCTATATTTAGAGTTACCCTGGAATTATTAAAAGAGAATTGAAGGACCACTGACTTCAGTGGTAGATGGTTTCTTGCTGAAATTAATAAAACAAAGACCTAAGCTTTGGATGGCACCCAGATTTATTTGCAGGTCTTCTCGTGAAGCTGCGCTGTAGGTGCTTGGGCATTAATTTGCCATAAGCAGTTTTAAGATCTCATGGTGACTTCCTCCCCACCAAAAGAGAACAGGTCAAAATCGCCTGAGGAAGCCCACTTCCCAAAATAGTTGTTTACAACTATTGTTTTGGTGCTTGCAGAGCTTATTCTATGGGTATTGCAGTTGAATTTTACTTTGAAGTACACAGCATGGGCTGTCAAATCGGCATGCAAAATGCTTAATTTCCACAGTGCAGGTGCTGATTTTGCAGATCCTTGTGGGAGAAGAGTGCATTTCACACTTGGGATGATACACTTTGTATAAAGCTTTACAACACAGTGCATTACAAGTTTGCTTATATGCTTGGTAATCTTTTCTAGAAGTTGGTTCAGTCGTTTTGACGGTTAGATTATTTGTTAAACTCCTAGGATTTCTGGATATTGTACAAGCTTAAGAAAACAGTCCATGCCTGCTGGCTTATAATGTAATATACTTGATGCAAAAGAGATGGGATAAAAATGGAGAACAAACTCTGGCAGTATTACTTAGTTGCATTCAATGTCTGGCCAGGGGGGGATGGCTACTGAAGGAGCTGGTTCTGTGTAAGGAGGGCTTTGGCAATTACTCTAAGCCAAGGTATTGTAGATGCCTGCTGCCTTTCCTCCCCTTTGCTGCAGCCAGGTGGAACAACTGCTAATTCATAGGTCTCGTGACACATAATTCAAACCACAACCCTAACTGCTATTAATGTTGACTGTGTATAATGTCTGTGGCAGTATATCTCAAGTCTAGTTTAGACAGAAGAATTAATGGTAGGGAGGAAATGCATGCTTCCATGGCATGATATAAACTCTGGTAAGTGACCAAGAGGCCATTGGTTGTTTTCAGAGATGGCTTTGGGCTGTTGAAAAGTCCTTTTGCTTTTGTGAGGCAAGGTGGTTGATTCTCACTGATACCCCTATCTCTTTTGTGCCATAACTCCCAAAGGTGCATTTTTAAGGGGTGTGGGAGGGGTTGCACTAGATAGAAAAGTCTGAAAATTTGTGTGCCTAAGGTCACACATGCAGAAGTGTTTTCCACTAGCACGTATCTACCATTCATGGTCTTCACCAACTCTTTTCCTAGATACAGGTAGGTAGCCGTGTTGGTCTGCTGTAGTTGAAACAAATAGTTCATGCACGTATCTGAAGAAGTGTGCATGCGCACGAAAACTCATACCAATAACAAACTTAGTTGGTCTCTAAGGTGCTACTGGAAGGATTTTTTAAATTTCATTTTCCTAGAGTCTTCCTGGAATGGGTCTCATTTATTAAGCACCTAAGATTTCAAAGAGCAAGCTTTGATTCACTAAATGCTTTAGTGCAATCTTCTAATCATTTGTGTTGGAGTTACCATTCAGCTCAGTATGGTTTATGTTTTGACTAAACATGCATAGGATTGAGCTGTAGGTCTTACTATTTCTCACCAGCTCATTTACATTAAAGTGTGACATATAAAACAGAATTAAGCACTCCTTTAACCGTACTAAAGAGCTTGCATGCAAAAATCCCTGTAGGATTTTTTAGTTGTCAGTTTCAAAAGTGGTTTTCCATGTAGCATAGTTCGTGAGATCAGGGTCCCATTGTGATACAGAGTCTGCAGTTTTCAGCCTCGTGGCAGGTGGCAAGAGCTGTGCAGGCAGAGCAACATTGCTCCACTGCCTCCTGAACATAGTGTTGCTGCCAGTTCCTGAGAGGGAGAGCTGCAAGGTGAAGGAGCTCAGCACAGTGTGGTGGCAAGAGTATTGGATTGGCTCCTCAACTGTGCTGAGCTTTTTTCTCCTATCCGTTTCAGGAACCAGTAGTGATGCTCAGTATTTGGGATGCAGGTGAGCAGTGCTGCCCCATGCTACTGGCCAGTCCTTTCCACTGAAAAGCCCACCTGCAGCCCCTAGATAAGTAAAATGGTACTTCTTAGGGATCCATGTTTGTTCTAGCTCTACAAACCATGTTGAGTGAAATTATGGTTTATGGGGAAACACTATTTGCCTTAGTTTCCTCATATTTTCTCTCTTCTTCCCTGGAAGATTTTTGTACCAAGAATTTGAGGTTTATATATCATGCCCTAAAGAAATGGGATAATCCCCCTCTGTAAGTGGTCACTGGACTCTTTCATTGGGCTGATGCTTCATTTCCTGATAGTGTAACTTGGAGGTTTTCAACCTTTTTGAGTCCATGGCTTCCTTGACCAACTACACTCTTTCTCTGGCACCCCTGTGGGGCTCAGGAGCCCAGTTATGTCATTCCTTGCTTGCAGGGCTGGCAGTCTCACCCTTTTCAAACACCCTCCCTTGTGGGGTGTTTCCTCATCCTTCTCTCTTCCCTCTCCATGGGAGTCCTCTGGGCAGCCTCTGCTGCTGCCCCGGTCTCTGAGCTGCCCTCCCTGCCCCAAAAAGAGCTGCCTCCCAGAGGCACCATTCGCCTGGGAAGCTTGTAGCCAGGGCTGCTGCAATAGCCAGCCACACAAGCCTTTGGGAGGCAGAGATGCAAGAGGGCACCAGAGGAGGGAGGAAAGGAAGGAGGGACAGAGGCCAGTGTTGCCCGCGGCACCCCTGGCCATCATTCAAGACACCCTAGGGTGCCACGGCACACTGGTTGAAAATCATTAGTGTAACTAGTTTTAGAGGAAACAGAATAAGCACCCTTGCAGAAGTTGGGTCTGTAAATCTTGGATAGCTGTATGCATGCCTATGGGGTCTTTACTGTGGCTTTTTACTAAGTAACCTCCTTACCTCCTGAAATATGGGCTTAGTTGGAAATCACTTTAGCATATTACTTTGAGATTTTATTTTGGCTGGACACCTGCATCTTCCTTCTGTCTCATCTCCTTATTTTCCTTCTTTCAGTGAAGACCCTGTTTTCTGCTGTCCCATTTTTCTCCACCTGTGAGTAGAGTACTGTTGGCTAGCCTACAGATGGGTAGATTAGGGAGGCTGGCATTTAGCACTGTGGCTAATTGGTAATTGTGCCATTCAGCTAAGGCTGGGAACATTCATCCTGTCTGCATTTTTAAGCAAACCAACTCCCCAACAATTAAGTGCATTGACATAATTATCACTCTTCTCTGAATTTTGCAACAGTTATTGGCTTAAAGATTGCAGTAAAATGCCCAGTTTGGGATAAAACGTGTTTAGAAATGCATGCATTGAGATAAAATATGTATTTAAATACATATTTGGCACACTTAAGCATTGGATTATTGCACAAACAGGCTAGAACAGACTTATGAATGAGCACATGGAAAACTGACACAGGGCAGAAATGGACTGATTCACCCACCCCTACACTAAGCAAGCTCAAAACTGGCTACTTTTAAGTAGCTTTCTCTTTGGTGAAAACGTTACGCAATCTTTCCAAACTTGCTTCTTCAATCCTGCATCCTGCACACAATTGTGTTCTTTCCGCATGCAGCATTTAGTACATTGTACGAGGTTCTTCAGCTTTGTGTTATGAAATCTTGCTGTGATCTGTGGTGCTGGGGTTTGCCTTGACCACTGTGAAATAGTTTCTGTGCACTGCTTTGGGAATCTATATCCCTAGTTGACATAATCAAGAATGAAAGGGAAACATCTGAGATTTGTTCTACTAGTGAATATGAAATTTCACCCAAAGGACTATGAAGTAAAAAATAGCCAAAGTACTGTGTTTCTGAGAAAGCAATACAGGCATCCTTCCACTTATGCACGATCAACTTGTGTGCAACCATGTATATGGGCAGTGATGGGGAATAAATAATTTAATTCATACTGGGAAATGGAAGGAGCTGGAGAATACATTTGGCTCATGAGGAGACCCTTCCCGGAGCCATAATTGGACTTTAGTGAAGGTGGAAAAGAGACTGGAGGTCCAGCGGGGCTTTGTTTACACTGCTCAGCCTCCTTGCCTAACAGCTGATGTGTGGGGTAGTGCAGCACCACTTTTCCGCATGTCTTCCAGCCTCCGGCCGCCCCCAGAGTTTCAGTTCCAGTTGTGGATATTTTGGGTACAGTATTTTTTTATTTGAATTGGAGAAGAGATCAGCAAACAGGACACATAAAGGGTGCTCCCCACTTACATGATTTTCACATATGTGTGTGGGGCGCCTGTATTTTGGTCACTACTACAACATCTACTCACACTATGCTACGCTATGCTAGTCTTGGTCAGTTTGTTGTAAAAGGTCTCTTAACAGAAAGGTGCAGAGTTGGGGGGGTTCAGTAAACCCTGTTTGTCAAGAATCCTGAAGTGGCCAATCCTTTATTGTAGGTACCAAGTTTTAAGTAGGAACCATTAGTTTTTGCAATTTATATAGTTCCTTCAAGTGTTTATAAAAGGATTTGTCGTGTCTCAAATGCTTCCATTTCTTTTTACTCTTCAGAAGAGAATGCTTCTGACCTGTGTTGTGTAATCTCCTGCCTGGTTCAAGTTATGATGGATGCACACTGCAGAACTAAGCTGGGATTTCAGAGTCTTATTCAAAAAGAATGGATCATGGGAGGACATGCTTTTCTGGATCGGTGTAACCATCTGTGGCAAACTGATAGAGAGGAGGTATGACAAAATGAAATTCTTGAAGTCTTTGAGCTAAACCATATCCAATAGGATGGTATTAAAGGGGGAAGGCTGAGAATCATAATGGAAATACTGCATTCAGCTATTCAACAGTAACAACGTAGTATGTTTTTGAAGTAACTTAATTTGGACTTTAGCAAAATGATAGTACAGTATAGTGGAACAGTACCTTAAGAGCCCTAAATAAGGAGCCTGCCTATGTAACATGGCCTTTAGAAACCCTTGGCCAGGCCAAGACTCACAATTTAAAAAATAACTCCTTCTCATCCCCTAGCCATACTTAAATTGACAAAGGTCAATGAGGAAAGGGTATCACATGGAATACCCCCTTGGGTAGGTTCAGTCTCAGTGAACTCAATGCATGAAATACCCCATGTAATCTATTGCATAACGTCTGTTTTTTTCCCTTTTAGGCACCACTTTTCTTGTTGTTCTTGGATTGTGTATGGCAGTTGGTTCAACAGTATTCACTAGCCTTTGAATTTACAGAGACTTACCTAACTGTCTTGTCGGATAGTCTGTACATTCCAATATTTAGCACCTTCTTCTTCAATTCTCCGCATCAAAGAGACACTACCAGGGTATGAACACTGGGGGCTGTGGGGAATTACAGATGGGTTGTTTTGGTGCAGCTGAATTCTCTTTGGATTTATGACAGCAGTACAATCAAGTGCCAATAAAAGCCTTGTTTTTATAACGTACAAACGCTAGTGTGTTTTTGTTTTGTTTCTGTGTATAACCCATTCTAACAATGGTATATAAAGTTGTGCAGCGTGTTGAATCACTGCCTCTTTCTGCTGGAAACCTTTCACCCCTTCTCTGGCTTCTGATACTTTGCCAGACATTGCTCACATACTCTCAACTCTTTGCAGCCATGAAGGTTATCATATAAAAAAGAGAACTAAAATTTTGGAATCTGTACAGACACGGTGTAGCATCTGTCTTGTATTGCACAGACGTCAGTATGATTGAAGAAAACTACCTTCTATCTTATTCAGAGGGGGGGAACCCCCCCCCCCAATTCTCTCCTTCAGTCCTTTCATGAGCTATAGGAATCCTGAGTGTGTCACTTCTCAAGGATGGATGTGAACAAGATACCTTGAAAGTTGTTCCTCTGCCACAGTTTCAAAAGAATTATGATCTAACTGGGTCCTTCTTTGGAGGAAGATTATACTTGAGTGCAATATTGTCACTTAAGTCTTTAAAAACCAATGGCTGAAGAAATTATTATATTTTTTACATATCCACCCTTTCCCTCCTCATACTATTTGAGGTAGCATGGGATTCCCAGGTAGTCCCATCCAGACTGACCAGAGCTATTTAACTTTAGATAACCCATGACTATGTCATATGCCTTCAGACCATGTCCTGGATAAAGTGGATTTTCTGTTCGGCTAGAATAGGTGTACAGATACGCTTGGTACAGTGAAGTTATACAATGGCATGTTGAGAAATGTGTTCAAATCCTGCTAGGTCTACGCAGACCAGAGAGGTGGTCGAGGGAGCTGAAATTGCTGAAGTAAAGATGTTACTTGCAGTAAAGAGCTAGTATAAACTGATGCGTATTAGAAATATATTCGAGATTCTAATTCTTGTCTATTTTTCTTTCATAGTATGGAGGAAGCCTTAATACAGAAGGCACCAAACTTAGTTATCTTCACGTTTGGGACTGGTCTGTGCAGTTTGGACCTGAGGCACAAGCCTTGCTGAATAATCCTCTTTATGCTGAGAAGCCAAAACAAGTTAAGAGTCAGAAAAAACCTACACAATTCAAGGTAAGGTGTCCAACTCTTTCCCTCAAAACTCTATATCATTTTTCTGCCTTACGTAAATAAACAGTGGCTGATGACTTGTGTCACCCACTGTTCAGTTAAGGTAGAACCTGTCGATTTCTGCAAATAGTTTTCTCAGTGCCAATATCAAAAGCAAGGTTTACAGCTTACCTTGCTGCATTATTTTCAGCATCAGATACTTCAGTCATTGCCATGATTTGCTGCCTTAATTGATTGCTATGAGTTAACTATATAAAGCTAAATAAAATAGTGTTAACATATGGTTAGGTAAAGGGACCCCTGACCATTGGGTCCAGTCATGGATGACTCTGGGGTTGCAGCGCTCATCTCGCTTTATTGGCCAAGGGAGCCGGCGTACCGCTTCCGGGTCATGTGGCCAGCATGACTAAGCAGCTTCTGGCAAACCAGAGCAGCGCACGGGAATGCCATTTACCTTCCCGCCAGAGTGGTACCTATTTATCTACTTGCACTTTGTGCTTTCGATCTGCTAGGTTGGCAGGAACAGGGACCAAGCAACGGGAGCTCACCCCGTCGCTGGGATTCGAACCGCCGACCTTCTGATCTGCAAGCCCTAGGCTCAGTGGTTTAACCCACAGCGTCACCCGCTGCATCACATAGTCATTTGCTGGTCTTTGGGATTAACTTTGAAATTAACCCATAACAAAAAACTTAAAAATGCAAATAGTTATTTAATTAAAAAGTATACATCAGTATATTTTGTATGTGCCCTCAAGTAATTTTTCATTTGAGAACCACTAAAGGATTTGCAGTCCTTAAGCATGCTAGGTGAATTCTTTCACAATTCGATGGGAAAGGATGTAATCCTTTTTTGAATCGCAACAGGGGGCTTAGTGAGTTGCCTGACTGGTATGCATCTGAAATCTGCAACTGTTTTGCTGAGCAGATTTAGGCAGTTTTTCAATAACTTGTAAAAACTTTCAAAGATATGGCCAATTATCCTGTTTTCTGAGGAGGGGCAGTGTCTTGACTTACTGATCCATTAAATGTTTTTGTTGGTTGACTAAATTTAATTCTAATTTCACTCCTCTCTCAAAACACTATTCTTGGCAACTTTCTTACTTGACTGAGCAATGTGTTGTGTTATAGCTGCTTAGCTATTTTTTACCAAATCACTGTTAAGATGTAGGCTACGATAGCTGTCAAAATGCAACTTAAATCTGTCTTAAACTAAACTATTGCCTACGTTCATCCTTTTTTTACAAAAAGCATCAACGGCAGCTTTCCTTACCACTGACACAAACAAAACCGTCCCCCAAAAGAGGGTTTTTTAAGGAAGAAACGGACCAGTTAATAAAAAACCTCCTTGGCAAAAGGATCAGCAGGCTGATAACATCTGCTGACGAACTGCAGAATACCTCCAGAGAATTTTATGAGAGTTGGCACTCCAAACCTGCTGATCTCCATGGAATCCTGCTGCCACGCTTAGAAGGACCAGAAATCAAAGTGTGGGCGCAGAGATACTTGCGATGGATCCCTGAAGCTCAGCTGCCTAGTGGTGGGACAGTTGCCACTGCAACAAAAGTCTGGGAAGTGATGGAGGATGTGCAAGGTTTGCAGAAGCAAATGGATGAAAAACGCAACCAGAGTCTCTCAGAGGAGGGCGCTGCAGCAGAGGCTCCCTTCCAGAGAAATCCTGCTCGCCTGTCTGCTTTATTTCCATTTGCTGGGCTTCAAAGACATTCCCTCAAGCCAGTTTTACCTACGAGCACCTGGAAAGATTTGGAAGGTGAGGACTTGGCTAGGAGAGATGATGAGTATGTTGATTTAGGGGATGTTTGATGTGAGGCTTATGCTCACAAACAGAAATGAAAGTACTGGCACACTTCTCTCCAAACATAAAATTGGTTTCCTGGCAGTGGCTTTCCCTTCTGCCCGATGAAGCTTTTAGCATATGAAGATTTCCTCACTTGAGCACCCGCAATATTTTCTACACGAGTTTTGATCAAGCATTTTAATTAGTTCTTTCCATAAGCATGGGAGATACATAGCTGTGTTGCATAGGGCCCAGTTGAAAAATAAAGTAAAATACAAATTAGTTGCTCAATCATGGAAAGAGTTAAGGTGTTGGGGCACTCTCAAAATCATAATAAACTTCTTGTTGGAACATAAAGGGGTGGTGGTCTCAGAAATATCCACCAGAATTTAAAAATTTCCTAGTCAGGTAAGAGTGTCTTCCAGGCACATCTTATAATGCATAGAAAAACATGTGCTGTTTGAAAGACACCCCCCGGCGTTTCTAAGAAGAATCAGGTGCCATGTTTAGTTTTGTTTTTAGTTTTTAATGAACTTGACAGGGTCATACCTGCCTTTTTAAAACTCCCAACTAGAGAAATACTAGGTGTTTCTCTCATTCATCCTACTTGTTCTGATCATCCATGATCTTCAGAATAATTCATTGTTGTATCTTAATAAGTGTCTTAGTTTTCAGTAACTTAAGATAACAATCTCTTGTGCCAGTCCTCTTTTGTTTCCATCATGTTATTATCCTGCTGCCTTGGTCTGGAACACACACTACCAAGTACAGGATGGGGTAGAACTTAAAAGATGGCAATAAGCCAGACTTTTTCTTCCAGATTGCATAGGGTGCTCATGTTGATCTTCCTCACTAGCGCCAGTAGCTTGCACTGAATCTCAAGTCCTTACTTTAGGAAAGGCAACGAAAGAGCTATATTCAGCTTTGAAACTGGATTTGTCATCCAGTACTGCTATTTTATATAAACGTGACATTAAAGCTAGCTATGAATGTAAAGTTTATGCATTGGAGTTGAATTGCTGGATGTTGTCACAACAGTACCTCAGTTATAAAAGCCATATGAAAACTGCTTATTAAGTTTTGTCTGCCTATACCAAGCAGATAATTCAGCTCTGAAATAGAGGCTTTGAGAAGTCAAGAGGGTAAAGTCTTAATGTACATAAATCCAGAAGTAGCCCACAAGATAGAATTGGCTCTTAGTAACCCTTCCTCCTTGGAGGGCTGGAGCTTCATGGATATGACAGTGCACAAGTGGTTATTGTACTAGCCCAATGAGATTCTAGGTACAATTTTAAATCATTGCCTTGGAGTATATCCCAGTGTGCTATACCTGCTTGTTTTTTACGTTGCATTGGGAGCTAAGATTTGACTTCCAAAAGAGTGGATAATGAATTGGTGTAAATCAGGGTAGCTAGCCTGTGGCTCTCCAGATGTCATTGGACTCCAAATCTCATCAGCCTAAGCTGATGGGAGTTGTAGACAACATCTGGAGAGCTACTTAGAGCTACCCTGGTATAGATGAATGCCAAATGGAAACCTCAGAATCTATGTTGCCTTATGCATTTTGCTACTGTAAGCTCCTTGAGCTTTCAGTATTCTTAAAACACAATAATTCTATTTGTATATGAGCCTTCCGAAAGCTAGCATTGCACACTTTTGTTTCTTCAAATTTATTTAGCATTTATACAGGAGTTTCTCTCCAATTAGTACAGGCTGTACATTTTATAGCTACTTGATTATGATTTTGAGTTCACTTTGGGTGAAAAACACTAACGATGGAAAGGTTGTTTTTTAAAAAACATTTCCTTTGACAGCTAAACAGTTGTAATATATTGGTCGTGGAAATGTATTTATATTTAAGTATTGTGTATATAGGAAACTCATGGATATATGGAGGGATTTTTATAATGGCTTATGGAACTGCTCCACTCTAATAGGAACGAGTATGGTATTGATATGATCAGAACACACCACTGTGGATGGAAACATATTTAATTCACTATACTGAATTTTCTGGTATTCTGTTTTATACCTCCCAGTTTTACACTGAATACAAGCTTAGCATTAACAGTACTAAAGGAAAAAAACCTCTTCCTGTTTACTTTAATGGACTATTTGGACAAATGTATTTGTTTAATAAAGTGTACTTTTACTATTTTAACTTGAAAAGTGTCTTTGTCAATCTCAACGATTAAGCTGTTTGCATAGTCTAGTCCAGGGTTTCCCCAACTTGGGTCTCCAGCAGTTTTTGGACTACAGTTCCCATCACCCTCACCCACTGGTCCTGATAACTAGGGATGATGGGAGTTGTAGTTCAGAAACTGCTAGAGACACAAGTTGGGGAATCCCTGGCTCTAGTGTTTTGCAGTACTAATGGATGCAGTAACCTTACCATTGGTTTCAGAATTCCTGATAATCAACAGCAGAAGTGCAGATCCATACAAAACTTGCCTTCTGCGTAGTCATACCTTTGAATGCATGTAACCCACTGCCATGTACAGCAGGGATGGGGAGCCTGTAGCCTTCTAGAGATGTTGAAGCACAATTTGATCTATGCTGGCAGGTCAGGTCCCCTGGTCTACAGGCCTCAACAGTTACTCTATACAGTCACATGTGGCCCTGCCGCCAGGCAACCATGATTTATTATTTCATTTTTGTACTCTGCCCTTCCTCTGAACAGGAGCACAGAGCAGCTAATGCACACAGTACTATGAAACAATGTTTAAAAGCCACTACAATTGAAAAGAACTTTTCAACACAGCCACAGTAATCAGCTTAGCAGACATCTGCTTCAAATCCTTTGAAGTCCCAAATGACTGGACAAATAAGTGTGTTTTTTAGCTTGCTCCAGAATATTTGTCTTGTACCACTGTCCTACTAGCCACACCAACAGGACCATGAGCAAAAATGAGACCAAAGCCCTCCTAACTTGGAAGCTGCAGAAGTGAGTGGGGACCATCCCAGCAGCTTTGCAGCAATTTGGATCTACCATTTGAAGGAAGGGGGAGGTATGTCCCCCACCTCTTTACATCAGGGGAGGAAAAGCTCCTGCAGCCCCTGAGCAATGGGTCTGCTAGTACCCTCCCTTTCTGATGGAAAGGGGTGTCTTGAGAGGTTTTTCTGTTGAGGTGTTTGCTCCTAATCTGCAGGACTTTTCAATTGGCCAGCCATGGCTTTGACTTTGTAGCTTCAGCAGCCACTTTTTCTCCCTAGGTCACAGCACCACCACTGAAATTCTAAACTCTACTTTGTAACTGGCTTGGGGCAGGGCTCTTGCCATTTGCTTGCTGCCACACAAGTCTATGCTTTGCTTATGTCATCTCCCTGTCTTTGTTCTCTGCTATGGGGATCTCATGAACACAAGAAGCTGGGTCCAGGTATTAAGAGTCTAACTTCATTAAACTCCAAAGATTCATTAAATTCTAACATTTACTAAATCCAGGAGTTTAGGGAAATCAAGACACCCCCAACTCATATCAATATAAAAGTGGATTTAGAAATAAAGGTCACTTTAAGTACTCAGTGTTACAAGACCTAACTCACTAGACTCCTGTTATATTAAGATGAATTAAGAGCTGATTTTGTAAAAGCTGAGGTGGATTAGTTTAGTTTGGAATATATGTATATTTATTGTAACCTCTTCTGCGTCTACGTCACATGGCAGGAAACTAAACCTAAATAACAACCTATGTTTTTGGTGGTTCCCATTTTCATATGTAAGCGGCCTTGAGTCCTGTCACAGGAGAAAGGTGGGTTATAAATAAATTGGCAACAGCAACAAGCTGAAGTACAATTAGCAGGCACATGTACTTGGGTTTACTGGACTGATAGGACTTTGGAAAACTTTTGGTCTTGTGATTCCTGCTCCCTTGCCCCATTTGAGGGCAGTTTTCCGCTTATGTCCTAAGGAGTTGCACAGCCTACTCCCATGTCATATGCATGGGGAAACAAAGTTCAAATGCAATAGACATGGAAAAGGAAGCACAAGCCAGCTGTTCTTCTGCTTCCTGTTCTTGTTGTGTTTCATGTCTGAAGTGGCTTTTCCTCTTAAAGATTTGCAGGGAGGGGGAGGGATACTTGAAGGCTTGCAAACTTGTTAACAGTAGCTCTTCAGAAGGCAGACCTTATTTTAAGGACAGGAAGCTCTCTCTTGGCTTGGGCACATTTGCTAGGATTTTCCCTAGCATTTCAGGTCAGCATTTGCTAGGATTTCCCCACCCAGTGCCTTTCTGTAGCCACATTCTGTTGGATCCCTTCTCCCCAGTGTCCTTGAAGGCACAAAGCCAATACAAAATTAGCAGCCTCATAACTTAAGAATTATATATCCACAAAGATTGGAGAATGTTAAGCAAATCTCAGTTGCTACGGAAAAGTATAAAATGGTGCTTCTTTCCAGAGATTTTACAATAAGCTGTAGAAGAAAAATTGCCATTCTTTTTAGGGTTGTTTTTTTGCTAGAGCAGGGGTTCCCAAATTGTGGTCCACAGACCACTAATGGCCTGCAAGCTTCATTGAGGTGGTCCATGTGAAGGACACTTCTAATGTTAGTTCTATGGCATGCAAATTGTAATGCAATAAAATACAACATAGGAAATAAAAGGAATAGAAATATAATTAAAAACCAACAGCATGTACGAGCTGCCGCAGTGCATTTCAGTTGCTATAACAGGCAGAAAAATCATTGAGTGGTCGGCCATGACCCTGGGCAATTTTCAAGGAGTGCGTGGGGGAAAGTTTGAACTGCTGTGCTAGAGATTTCCTTATCTCATGAATGCCTTCATGGAATGGAAAAGGGTGATGAAAATGTACCAGTTTGTTCGGCTGGGCTGCAGAAGACTTTTTGTGTACCCATAATTGACGTACTTCAACAAATAACAATGGAAGCACAAAGCCTTTTGGGGAGAGATCATATCATCAGATGGCGCTGATATTACTTGCTAGATTCCCTTCTCAAGCTCCTTTTTAACTTTTTATTTTGAAGATGTTAGTGACAATACTACTTCCCAGCAACTGTCACAATGGGAAAGTGTGCCCTTGCACCCCAGGATGCATAAACTCTTAAGGCCAGGATACTGCCTAAAAACCTAGTCAATTTATAGATGTAGTTGCAAAGCTATTTATTTTATTACATATGTATCCCTATCTCTTGCATTTAGGCCAGGGGTCAGCAAACTTTTTCAGCAGGGGGCTGGTCTACTGTCCCTCAGACCTTGTGGGGGGGCTATTCAAGAATCAGTTTGAGGAGGGCCTTTAAGATCTTCGCGTTATATTGCCAAACAAATTTACTTACTATTAACCATTCCAAATCTAAAGTCCTAATTTTTTCCAGGAGTTGTAAATTGTATAGGTGGGAACTCGAGGGGAAGCCAATTGAACAAGTCTACAAATTTCAATATCTAGGAATTTACTTCCAGCATAATATGGGATGGAAAGCGCATATCACATACTTACAAAATAAGGGCAAAGCCCTTTTCTACGCTCTATTACGCCTTTTCTTTACAGAGGGGGCTATGCATGTTCCATCTGCCTTAAAAGTTTATAGTGCGAAAGTGGTTGCAACTATGGCCTATGCGGTCCCTTTATGGGGCGCTTTTGTAAACCTCATGCCTCTGGTGACATTGCAAAATCTTTTTCTCAGACGCCTTTTGAAACTACCCTCCTGTGTAAGCAACTCGGCTATTCGCTTAGAACTTAAGACCCCCTCCTTAGAGATCCTGATGTGGAGACATGCCTTTAATTACTGGCTGTCCCTTTGGCATAAATTGCCCAATTACCATCTTATTCAGTGCCTTTGGAGAGATGAATTTACCAGTCCATGGGAAACAAAAATCCATTCCAAACTGTTGTCTTATGGAATCTCTCCTTCCGATATACTAAATTTAGATCTAATTACAGCAAAAAAGGTCATCAAACAAAGATTGGAGGAGGTTGATTTGCAACAAAATCTTACTACAGGTGGAGGTACATGTTCCCCGATAAATCAGGGCATTACATTTATGTCCCAGATACCTCGATATCTGTCTACCTTATCGGTTGCGTCACATAGATTCACTTTTGTTAGAGCCAGATTTAATGTGTTCCCCTCAAATGTCCTGAGCAATAGATTTTCTAACGGTAAAACCTCTGTTTTATGTGCATGTGACAACAAATCAACAGAATCCCTTTATCATATCTTGTTTAATTGTCCTTTATATATTGTTCCCCGATCAAGGATTCTGAGTTCAATCATTTTGGAAACTGTTGCTAAACCACCTGAATTACATCTAGCCTATCTACTCCAGGACATTGACTCTTATAGAACATTACAGGTTGCCAGATTCCTGAATTCAGTTCTTTCATATAAAAGACTTCATGGAATGCTGCATGACTATTAAAAATCTAGTAAACTCTATCCACCATCTCTATATTCAAGGCCACAATATGGTACATCTAGAGATTGTATGTAACGTGAAGGAGATTATGCGTTGAAATTTTTTAGCTGATATTTTAGAATGTAAAATGCTATTTTATTTATTGATTGGTTTTACCTTGTGGGCTTATAGCCGAATAAAGTATTATCTATCTATCTATCTTGTGGGGGGGCTGGACTATATTTTTTTTTGGGTGGGGGGGAGAACAATTTTCTCCCGCCTGCAAAGAGGCCTAAAGATGCTTTGCTTTACCCAGGCACAGACAAACTTGGCCCTCCAGATGTTTTGAGACGACAATTCCCATCATCCCTGATCACCGGTCCTGTTAGCTAGGGATGATGGGAGTTGTAGTCCCAAAACATCTGGAGGGCCGAGTTTGCCTATGCCTGGCTTTTACCTGTTCCAGTTTTTGTCCCAATAGCTGCAGTTGGGCTTCTTTAGCCAGGCGCCGTGGCAGGGTAGGAGGCTGTGTTGGCTGGCAAAGACAGAAGCAGCAGCCCCGGCAGAGGAACCGTGGACGGAGGTAAGGGAACTGGGGTGTCACTGGAGCTTTTACCCACCACCACCTGCTGCTGCTTCTGCTTCCCGAAAGGGACCGCAGAGTAGACAGAGCCACCCACCAACCCACAAGTGGCGGCTGCAGCCACCACAACAACCCGCCTGAATGCCATGGGAGAAATGAAGGAGGCAGGCAGGCAGGCAGGCGGTGACAAAGAAAGCTCACATGGAAGCGGTGTGGAAAAGGGG